AAAAAAGGGACCGTGGAGGTCTTCTCCTCAAGCAGGAGACCTTAACCCATTTCGAACAAATGGCTGTCCAAGTTCTAGTGGCAAGGGGTTCCATTGATTAATTGTTCTAATTGTCCGAAAATTTCTCCTTAGTTCCAGCTTGCTTCTCTCCTTGATTAATTTCCATCCGTTGCTTCTTGTCCTGCCTTCCGGTGCTTTGGAGAATGAGTTGACCCCCTCCTCTTTGGGGCAGCCCCTCAAATACTGGAATACTGCTATCATGTCACCCCCTGGTCCTTCACTTTGTTAGACTAACAGAATAACAGTGTTGGAAGGGACTTTGGAGGTCCTCCAGTCCAACCCCCTACTCAGGCAGGAATCCCTCTACCATTCCAGACAAATGGCTGTCCAGTCTCTTCTTAAAAGCCTCCAGTGTTGGAGCACCCACAACATCTGGTGGCAAGTCGTTCCACTGGTTAATTGTTCTCACTGTCAGGAAATTCCTCCTTAATTCCAGGTTGCTTCTCTCCTTGATTAGTTTCCATCCGTTGCTTCTTGTCATGCCTTCAGGGGCTTTGGAGAACAGCTTGACTCCCTCTTCTTTGGGGCAGCCCCTGAGATACTGGAACACTGCTATCATGTCCCCCCTCGTCCTTCTCTTCATTAAACTAGACATTCCCAATTCCAGCAACTGTTCCTTGTATGTTTTAGCCTCCAGTCCCCTGATCATCTTTGTGGCTCTTCTCTGCACTCTTTGTAGAGTCTCAACATCTTTTTTACACCGTGGTGACCAAAACTGGATGCCGTATTCCAAGTGTGGCCTTACCAAGGCCTTGTAAAGTGGTATTAACACTTCACGTGATCTTGATTCTATCCCTCTGTTAATGCAGCCTAGCACCATAGAGCTACGATGAGCAATAGGCAAAGAGAAGGCTTGACCATGACAACCTGGTTTAATGTCATCCTGACCCGGTTGCAAATCAAATTGCAAAAAAATGTCCTTTTTTCCACATCTGTCGCCACGAGCAGCAGACCCTCCCCAGTTTGTTTTTTTTAACCTTGCGAAGACAATCTCGGTTTGTATGTCCAGTACGAACTGGACGGAGATCAGAAATCCTTCATCCAAGTTCCTGGTTGCAATAACACCTCTTAGAAAGGGGTATTGCTACCGCGTTGTAAATCCTTAGTAAGGCCGCACCTGGAATCCCCCATCAGGTTTTGGTGCCCACATTACGAAAAAGATGTTGAGTCTTTGGGGGGGGGGGGAAAGTGCAGAGAAGAGCAACTGAAATGATTAAAGGCCTGGAGACTAAAACGGTTGCAGGAATTGGGAACATCGTGTCTAGAGAAAAGAAGGACGTGTGTGTGTGTGATAAAAGTATTCTACTATTTGAGGGGCTGCCCCAAAGAAGAGGGGGGGTCCACCTATTCTCCAAGGCGCCTGAAGGCAGGACAAGAAACAACGGATGGAAACTAATCAAGGAGAGAAGCAACCTGGAATTAAGGAGAAATTTCCCAACAGTGAGAACAATTAACAAGTGGAACAGCTTGCCACCAGACGTTGTGGGTGTTTCATCACTGGAGGTTTTTAAGAAACAGCTGAAATGGGTTAGGGTCTCCTGGATGAGCAGGGGGTTGGACTAGACGACCTCCCAGGTCCCTCCCAGCTCCATTCTGATTCTGAGTCAGCTCGGAGTCTGTGGCGTGCGTTGGTAGCGTTCCTCTTCCTCATTCCTGGCACCCCGCGTCAGCCCTGCCTAAGGCATCTCCTGCTCCATCCAGGCGTTCCCTTAGATGCCCCGGCTTGGCTCCGGCGGCCCGGGGTGACGTCCTCCCAGCCAGGATGAGGCTGGCATTGGCACAGGGCGTGTCGGGACGGCCTAGCTGGCACCGGGATGCCTGCCAGCCCTCCAGGAGAGCAGCTGCATTAAAACGCCTCCGGATTGCAGTGGCTCATTAAAGATCATGCGGGATCCGTGTCTGGACACATATTAAATGGCTTGTTTAAATATGAAATGGCCCCGAAGCCGTCGGGCGGGGCGGGCGAGGAGGCGGGCGGGCGGATGGACGGGCATCGGAGTGCCTGCCCGGTGACTCAGCCAGGTCGTAAAATCCATTTTCCGCACGGAAAATGTCCCTTTTTGGGAATCTTTTCCTTGATCTCCCTGGCGGTATCCAAAAAAAAGTCAAGATTACTGCTGGAATCGTGCGAATGAGGCTCGGCCCATCATTTACGCGGCGGCCATCTTGACTTTTTTGACCCCCATCCTGAGGCGCCTCCGATCCTCCCCTTTCCTTGCCCTCTCGTTCCACCCCAGTGCAGTCTCTTAGTACAATAGTCCTTGACTTACAACAGATCACTGAGCGACAATTCAAAGTCACAACGGCACTGGAAAAAAAGGGATTTGGGAACGTGTTTCACACTTACGACCATCGCGGCATCCCGACGTCACGTGATTTACACTCGGACGCTTGACATTTATGACAGTCGCAGCGTCTCCCAGGGTCACGTGATGATCCCCTTTTGCGACAAGCAAAGTCAAGGGGGGAATCAAATTCACTTAAAAATGGTGTTACTAATTTAAGCCCTGCGGTGATTCACTTAACAACATGGAAGGTCGTAAAATGGGGCCAAATTCACTTTAACAACTGTGTCACTTAGCAACCTCAGTTTTGGGCTCAATTAAGTCAAGGAGTACCTGAAATTCATTTCCATCGCTGCCCATCTTAGTAAATGGCACCTCCAGGCACCTCGTCATTCAAAACATATATTCCAATGAAAAAATATTAAAAACATTTTTTAAAACAATAAAAACAATAACAGGAAGAAGCGTTCAAACAATTAAAAAAAAACATTAACATGTCTCAGATAGTCTTCAACGTACGACCACAATTTACGTCGCTAAGGGAGAAATTTGTGAAGTCAGTTTTGCCCCATTTTATGATTTTTTTTCTTGCCTCGGTTGTTAAGTGAACAACTACAGCCGTTAAATTAGTGACACCGTTGTTAAGTGAAACGGGCTTCCCCGTGGACTTTGCGTGTCAGAACGTCACAAAAGATGGTCACATGACCCCGGGACACTGTGACCGTCACAATTGTCAAGCATCCGAGTGTAAATCACATGACTCTAAGGATGCTGCAACTGTCGTAAGGGGTGAAAAACGGTCGTAAGTCACTTTTTTCAGTGCCGTTGTAACTTTGGACGGTCACTAAATGAACCGTTGTAAGTCGAGGACTGCCTGTGCATTGCAAGCCAAGACTTGCAACCGGAAATTTGGTCGTAATTCAAGGACCTGCCGGTATTTTAAAGCAGCTGAAGTTCCTAGATGGCATTCAAGGGTGGGCCCCACAAACAGCCTGCTGCAGTAGCCTAACCCACGACGGGCGGTCAATCTCAAACTCCTTTTTGTGTCTCCCGCAGCCACTTCAGACGGTACCAAGGAAGGTCTCGAGAACTTGAAAGGCGGCGCCTGTTTGTCCAAAGGGATGAAGGTGATGCTGAAAGTCGGACAGCGTAAGTGGTCCACCAGGGTGGATGCTACCACTGGTGGCGGGGTGGGGCGGGTGAGTGACCTGTGGGGCTTGGGAATCCTGGCCTCACTTGGGGGGAGATGAGCTGGGATGGTGGGACATCCTATGTCTTGGAAAAGATCCAGTTCTTTCGACCAGAAGAAACGTAGAGCCGTGTAGAGCAGGAATCCCCAATCTGTGGGCCACGGCCCACTACCGGGCTGTGGCCTCTTGGCCACTGGGCCGCGTGAATGGCTGGCCCGTGCGTGCACTCTCCCCCACTCGCACTACTGCTGCCCTGAGCGTCGCACGGATGCTAGGCCCGCCCTGAATGTTGCACAGATGCTAGACCCGTCCCAAGTGTCACGTGGATACTAGGCCTGTCCTGAGCATCGGATGGACACTAGGCCCACCCCTGAGCATCGCGTGGACACTAGGCCCACCCCGAGCGTCGTGCAGACGCTACATCCACTCCGAGCATCGCATGGCCATTTGGCCTGCCCTGAGTGTCGCATAGACACTAGGCCTTCCCGGAGTGTCACGCAGACGTTACGTCCGCTCTGAGTGTTGTGTAGACACTAGGCCTGCCTCGAGCATCGTGCAGACACTATGTCCGCTCCGAGCATCGCACGGACACTAGGCCCGCCCTGAGTGTCCCGTGGATACTAGGCCTGACCCGAGCATCACGCAGACGCTGCATCCGCTCCGAGCATTGTGTGGACACTAGGCCCACCAAGTGTCATGTGGACACTAGGCCTGCCCCGACCATCGCGTGGACACTAGGCTCACCCCGAGCGTCATGTGGACACTAGGCCCGCCCTGAGCATCATGTGGATGCTAGGCCCACCCTGAGCATTGCGCTGGTGCTAGGCCCGCTCCCAGTGTCATGCACGTACTTGCGCTGCCCCTGTTTGCATTGTGTGCGCACATGTGGCCCAAGCTGCCCCTTCCATTCCCTCTCTTGTTAGACGGTCACAAAACATGACCACCCAGGATGCTGCAACCGTCATACATGTGAATCAGTTGCCAGGCATCTGAAATTTGATCACATGACCCTGGGGAGGCTGCGACGGTCGTATGTGTGAAAAAACGGTCGTAAGTCACTTTTTTCAGTGATGTAACTTCAAACGGTCACTTAATGATCTGTTGTAAGTTGAGGACGGCCTGTATCTCAACCTTGGCATCTCAAAGATGTATGGACTTCAACTCCCAGAATTCCCCTTGGCAACTGGCTCATATTTAAGGCCCTGTTCAGTGTCCTGTAGTCACATGACTGTGATTTTTTTTGGCATTTTTTTTTTTGCCAATTTCCAGCATTTATTTCCATTTTCCAGCGGAAAACACCCTTTGATGAAAACAACTGCTTAATGACCGCAGTGTTCACTTAATGACTACAATGTCATGAAATCGAACGCGGCCATTTGGTGACCTGCTTAACAACCACTATGATTTAGGACCGTCATTCCAGGCTCAATTACAGTCCTAAGTCGAGGACTACCTGGGTGTTCATACAGGATGCTCAGGTTTGTTAAGGCAGCCACATCTTTTGTGCGACACGATCCGCTTCAAGAGTCAGGAATTAACTTTGCCTAGTGGTTATGTGGGGTACGTGAACACAACTTCTTTTATCAGTTTATGGATCCTAGTACAGCACAGGCAGTCCTCAACTTACAACAGCTCATTTAGCAACTGTCCAAAGTTACAACCGCACTGGAAAAAATGATCTACTACTGTTTTTCACACTCATGAACGTTGCGCCATCCCCGTGTGATCAAAATTCAGTGGCAATCAACTCCTATTTAGGACGGGTGCAGTGTCCCGGGGGTGTGTGTTGCTTGATCCCCTTTTTGCAACCTTCTGACAAGCAAAGTCAATGAGGAAGCCGGATTTGTTTTTGTGGCCAGAAAAGTCATCCTATGGGACAAAATTAATTTAACAACTGTGTCACTTAGCAACAGAAATGTGGAACTCCGTTGTGGCAGTTAGTCGAGGACGACCTGGATGTACACCCACAAAAAAAAAAAAATAGGACAAGTTGAGTCAAGGTCCTTGTGGGAATGGCAGCCGTGTGGGTGTGGGTGTGTGGTTGTGTTAAAATGGTGACTGTAATTGTGTCGTCAAAGCCACGTCCTTCTGCCTGCTCATAGAATGGGCAGTGCTTTGATTGTGTAGATATGGTTTGCCATTTTCACTTTCTTGATACGCTTACCCGTTGGGTGCCAAGGAGGGGGACTGGGGGTGTTGCGTTGGGGTGCTAAGCCTCTCTTCCTGCTCGGATTGTCCCTCTTTCCTCTGCCCCACGTTTCCCTTTGCCCGCCAGATCGCAACACGGGTTCCAAATCCCAGAATTCCATGCCCGCCACTCCCGCTGAGAAGGACCGAGGGATGCCGGGTGCCGCCGAACCGAACAAGGAAATGGTCCCAGGTAGGACCCTTCTCCCACCCCGCCCCTGGGGGCTTCTCTCTGTCTCCTAACAAGGGAGCCCCTTCAACTGGGTCGTTGCAACTGCCGTCACCTTAAGCCAGCATGGTTAATCTCCCGTGGTCTGGCAAGGAGGTTTCCGTCGTAATGTGGCGCCCGAATATTCCCACGGAATCTTTCTGGACACGCTTGGTGTCCTTCCTCCTTTCCCGTCTCTCTTCCTCCCGTTGCGTGTGCAAAGACAGGTAGCGCTCGGCTAACGCCTTTTTGTATAGCGACCGTTTGAAGCTACGGCAGCGCTGAAAAAAGTGACTTGCCACTGGTCCCCACATTTATGACCGTTGCAGCATTCCCGTGGTTACGTGGTCAACATTCAGGCACGTTGGCAACCAGCCTGTATTGACGGCAGTTGTAGTGTCCCGGGGGTCCCGCGATTGCCGTTTGCAACCTTCTCAGCTGGCTTCTGACAAGTAAAGTTAACGGGGGAAGCCGGTTTCACTTAACGACCACATGATTCATTTAACGACTGCAGTGATTCGCTGAGCAACTGTGGCAAAAAAAGTCCTAAAATCAGGGCAAAACTCACTTGCTTAGCCACAGAAATTGGGGGCTCAGTTGTGTCGTACGTTGAGGACTCCCTGGACAGTCCTCAACTTATGACCGTAATGAAGCCTGGAATTTTTGCGAGCAATGGAGGCGTCAGTCCCGTTTGTGGTCATACGTCGAGGGCCACTTGTGTTCCTCTGAGCCAAATCCCTTCTTTTCCACGAATGCTTGGCACATAATGAATAGGAAGATTAGGAAGGAACTCAGCTGTAACCGTAGTAGGGAAGAAGGTTGTTATCTCCAAAAAAACCACAGAACCCATGTTCCTCAGCATAGCTCTGCCTGCATCTGGCCCAGGGGTGACTTTCACGTCAGCTGAGATTGGAAACATAGCTAGGGCAGAAACAGTGGGTCCGCCTTCTTCCCTGTTTCCGATCTCAGCCTGGGTTGAGACCGATACTTCGGGGGTCCCAAGCAGGGAAGGATTGGGGGCCCCCCACTGGCTCCTGTTTGCCTCCATCCTCCCCTTTCACCAGGAATAGAAGAGAGAATTGGAGGGGGCAGAGCAGGGTGTGATGGGTCTTCAAATCTGAACGATCCCTGTGAGGCGGTCCCAGGCAGATTTCCGCAAGGCAATTAGCTCAATTAATCAGAGTCGACAGACGTGAATGTTGTGCTGAGCAGGCAGTGGCTCCTTTGGGAGGTGACGATGCGCGGAACCCGTTTGTACAAATGGTGAGGAAGTGTTTCTGCGTCCTCCAACTCGTGGCGGTCAAAGAGGTTGGTTCCGTAGGAGCGAGACTGATGCCCTGTTCCCTTTGCCCACAGGACCCCCATCTGGAAACACGACCGGGAAAGTTGGTGGTGAGAACGGTCCATTGCCGCAGTCGAACGTACCCATCATTGCTGGCGCTGCCGGAGGAGCAGCCTTCGTGTTGCTGGTGGCTGCGGCAGTGACGGGGGCCCTGTGTTACCGCCACCACCGGGCCAAGCACAGTGAGTCCCACCACCCGCCGTTGTCTCTCAGCACCCTGACCAGCCCCAAGCGAGTTGGGGGCGGAGGGGGCGCCAACAACAACGGCTCGGAGCCGAGCGATATCATCATCCCGCTCAGGACTTCAGACAGTGCGTTCTGCCCACATTACGAGAAGGTGAGCGGCGATTACGGCCACCCTGTCTACATCGTGCAGGAGATGCCACCGCAGAGCCCGGCCAACATCTACTACAAAGTATGAGGCGAGGGGTGGCTCAGCTGAGCCCCCGCGGGTGGCCTTGGAGCGCCGCGGCGGGCAGGCAAGGACATTCGGATTGGAGGGGACGCCACGGGGACATTACCCTTCCTGTCCGTTCTCGTTCACCTCGGATGCTGCACACAGAAGGGTTCAATGCACAGGTGCCTGGTTCACCCCCAGTTATTTGGGGGGGACCCTGGAACTGATATGGCTGCTGCCACAAGGGAGGCAGGGACTCCTCTCTCTCCGGGATCCAGAACGAGAGATGCAACTCCTGTCTCATCACCTACGAGCGAATTTTCCACGGCAAGGTCCAGCCCGTGTGTGAAGCTCGGGCTCCCACCGGTGTGTGCCCAGCTGCCAAAATAGATTTGGGAGTGGAAGACGCGAGAGCCCCTCGTTCCCTTGCAATAATTCAATCTGATTGCCTTGTCCGTCTCTCTCTCTTCCTCTCTCGTCTCCCTTTGACAGCTTGTTCATGGGCCGTGCTGATAAGGTTAGACATATGGGGAGGGAGGGGTTAAAAGCAAGGCCCCCTCCCAGCGCTCTAAAAGGTTGCATTTGTTGTTAGTGCCACAAATCAAAACAAGGAACATTGCAGGTCTGCCTTATTCCCACCACCATCGTGTGACCCTCCCCAGGAACGGCATTTCAAACGTGTTGTTTTCGGTTTTTTTGCTTTGTTTTTTTAACTTTGAAAGTTTGTACCCTTTCGGTATTTTTGCAACTGTTGCCCTCTGCAAGATCTCTCCTTACTTTCCCCTCACGGGGGTTCCTTCACGTTGTAGCCTTCCAGACAAAGGCACTCGTCCGTCCGTTCCCCAGTTGCAATTCTCACCCCCAATTGTCCGTTCCCCCCGTAGATACAGACAAATGTGTACATCGGGGATGCACACATGTGAATCAGGATGGGTGGAGATCCCCTTCCTCTCCCCACCTTTGGATGGGGAAACCCCATCGGCTGACCACAGAGCAATCCACAGGTTGGGATCTGTGGCTGGGAAAGGGATCCTGGTTTGTTTATCCTTCAGCAACCATTTTGGAAGTCTCCGGTGGTCGCCGCTTGAAGGAGAGGACAAACAAAATGATGGTCAGCTTTCTCACCCATCCGCGTCGGAAGCAGGATGGGAAGGGGAGATGAATTCCTCCAAATTTTTAATGTCTCTCTCTCTCTCTTCTCGTGCCTCCCTCCCCCCCATCGCCATTCAGGAAGGGATTTCCCCAACTTTTGATGGAGTTTTGACGAAGTGGCGACATATTGTGTGTGATGTTTAGTGGCACGCCCGAAAGAGGCGGGACTTCTTGTGTTAGACTGGGAAACGTACGTGGCTCAACTTTCCTGCTTTTTTCAGGGGAAAACTGTGGGGTTTTTTCAGCTTTAACAGATTTTAATTTTATTTTTGGTTCTTTTTGTTTCCGTTTTCTTTTTTTATCTGAAACGTTTTCTTAGTTTTTCTTGGTGGAATTTTACTGTTGGACATTGTTGATTATAGACGTTCTCGTGCAACTGGTCTCAGACTCGTCTGGTTATTTCCTCCGATCTCCTCTCATTAAAAAAAATAAAAATAAAATAAAATAAACCGCCCACCGGTTCTTCTCTTGGTACCCACCCCCACCCACCCCCCATGGACATTCAAGGAGCTGATGGTCTTCTCGACGTAGAACGTACAGCTGGGATAATTTTGTCTCCACTGGACAGTGAAGATGGGTGGAACGCAAAGCAGCGGCAGATCCTCCAGAGCAGGGCTTTTCAACCAGTGGGACGGGTACCACCTGTGGTACATGGGCACCTGGCAGGTGGTACGCAACCATCCTAGAAAAGTGGTAGTGGGCAAGGAGAATGAGCTGAACCGGTGGCAGCACCGCACAATCCTGAGCGAGAGACGGCTGGAGCTGCAGGGCTGTCAGGGCTCAGCGGAAGCGCCAGGATCAGTGCCGCTTTCCAGCTGATCGGCGCTTCTTCGGGACTGTCAGGGCTCAGCAGAAGCACCAGGATCAGTGCCAGGCTCCAGCTGGAGCTCGGCGCTGATCCTGGTGCTTCCGCTGAGCCCAGAAGAAGCGCCGATCAGCTGGAATGTTGCAGCATCTCCAGGGTCTTGTGACTTACATTCAGATGCTTGGCAACTGATTCATATTTATGACGGTCACAGTGTCCCAGGGTCATGTGAAGTGACCAAAACCTGCTGCAACCACCCAGCAGACGGGGGAAATAAAAACTAAAAAACCCCCCACCCCCCACCCCACTACCAATCTTCAACAGAAATGCTCACAGCAATGAAAACCTCAGACAGGAGGAAGAGCGCCGCCGGACGGGCAGGCAGGTGTCTTGCTCGTCTGTGGCTTGGGGGGGCCTTTTTCAGTGCCATTGTAACTTCGAACAGTCACTAAGTGAACTGTTGTAAGTCGAGGACTTACCTGTACTTTATCACTTTTTTCCTTTTTTTTTTTTTTTTTTTTTTTGGTCATCAAGTTTTTGACCCCTTGCTAGGCGACTGATGGTTCTCGGATGTTGCCGTATCCTAAAAGTGGTACAATGGGTGAAAAGGTTGAAAAGCCCTGATCCAGAGTTTGGGTTGTCTGGAAAAAAGCAAATTGCACGGCTGACGTTCGGCTCGGGTGGGTTGTTCAGGGACACGCGCATTTGGGGAAGGGGTGCAAAGACATCTGGTGGGCAGGGGTGCACCTCAACACCTAGAGTCAGCGTCTTGTTTTGGAGGTCCACTTTTTGTGGGGAGGGGGCGAGAATCTGAAGGCCGGCCTTCTGCATGTGTTCAAGGCTGGAAGTTGAAACCAGAGCAGACATGGGGGTAGAGGGGGGGGGGAGGAAAAATCACTGGAGCCTCTCCTGAAAAAAAAAATTGCATTCTTCAAAACAAAGCTTGCCTTGATGCTCAGGAAGAAACGGCGTGTGTGGTTTGACGTTGTTTGTCTGCCCTTTCAACTCCCAGCCTCAAAGTCAGTCCATCCGAAATGCAAGCGGGGCACTTGCTTGGCACGGGGTAGCCCCAGCCTCCCCTGGATCATTCCAGGTTTGGCCACCCACCCCTCCCAACAGCCAGGCCCGCCCCTCACCCTCCCAAAGCTTCTTTGCCCCTTCTTGAGCACTTCGACGGCAGCTTTGCACGTGATGAATTGTGACAGGCCGCGCGGCGCTGTTGACTTGCCCAGGGCTACGGCTGTCCCTTGTATCAGGGATCTAATGGAGAGCTCTCTGCCCCCTCAACCATGCCTGGGCTTCCATTAAGGAAACAGCAGCAAGGGGGAGTGTGGGGTGAGAATTTGGGGGAAGGAGAGATAAGGGAACGGGCAGACCACCAGCGCCAGCTTCGCAGAAAAGTGTTGTCTCCTGGCACTTCACTTTGTTCTGACGGCTACAGGCAGGCGTGGCCCCCGTTGGTTGTGTGGCAGGACCTCCTCCTGCCCCCCCTCCCAATCTCTCCCTGCCCTCTCCTCCTGCCCCACCAACCCAACTATTTGGGGGGGCGGGGTGGTCCCTTCCCACATCCAGACACCTTGTCAGTGTTGGAAGGAGACAAAGACGTAGGAGGTTATTTTGGGAACAGGGGCCGCCATGGAAGAGAGAAATGCTGATCCTGTATCTTCCCAGGGAAGGAGGGGGTTAGAACTGGCCACGAGATGGGTGGGTGGGTGGGGGCTGGGAAAGCAGAACCCCGGCCCCCATGTTGGCGGGGATCCAGTTTTCGGGAAAGAATGGAGCGCCGCAAAGAGGCGCGTTGGGAACGCAACACCGTTGAACGTAGGTGAGGAAGAGGATGCTGCGGCGAAGGAGCACTTCTACCCATCGCCACCATGGGGTGCCCTGCAGAAGATGCCCCTCCGGGGATTCCCAGCGGGCGACTTCCCCATCCTGAAAGTCCAACTGGTGCAGCTCCAATTGGTCTCTTCTCTTGACGTCCCTCTCCCGTTCTCTCCGAGCTGGGGGCATTTTTTTTTCCCCATGGAAAAAAGTGGCCGATTAGCCCACTGTCTCTTCTGCCATTTTGTTGGCCAATCAGGTGTTCTGCTACACCGGGGGACCCGACCCGTTTTTGGAAATCAGTTTATACCAAAGATGAATATTTTGCTTTTGTTTGCAGCGGGCGGGTTTCTGTTTAATTGGAGTGAAAATCAGGTGGGGGACAGACCTGGCAGGTGGCACTGTGTCTCTAGACAATGCCCGCGACTGGCCAAATGTATTTGGGGGGCGGTCTTGGCGAGCTGGGTAGAGCAGGCCATCCCGAAACATAGTTTGGTTTGAAGGGAGCTTAGTGGTCTCTGAGCTTGGTTGTTTCCTTGCAGATGTTTCGTGACCAACCTAGAGAACGTCATCAGTGCTAGGGAGGAGTTAACACCAAGGTTAACATTAGACCAACAATAAAAGAAGCAGACAATACCCCAATCAAGCAAACAGTAAACCGCCCAACCAAGGAAGCCACCAAGACCACCACCACCCCGCTCTCGCTGACAGGCAAGCTGCTGGAATATAAAAAGAGAACAAACCCTACTCCCTACTGGCCCTGATGATGTTACCTAGTTGGGTCACGAAACGTCTGCAAGGAAACCGCCAAGCTCAGAGAGCACCAGGGACCCCACAGTTCTCTTTATTCCTCCTCCTCCTCCTCCTCCTCCTCCTCCTCCT